AATGTCAGTATCGTAATATCACAGGATACGATGCGATACGAATTACGACAGATGCGTGTTTTGTGTGGGTGTGTCTCTTCGATTCCATGAAGCATGACTTGAAAATGTAATCGAAACCATTTATTTACTAATCGGTATGGTAACGGATAGTATGTATTTATTATACTGGCAAAATTATAACATAAAAAATTTAACTCGGACTACGCTCCGAACACAGTCCTGGGACCCAATTCTCGCGGCGTAGATATTATATCGGCTTCGAGATAATATCGAAAGTAGGGATATCTATTGAAAATATCCACTGATGGTAAAAAATGCTATTCTCGTGGATTTTCGATATTCCAATAATATTATATCTATCGTAGATATTCTTTCACTGCCGAAAGCGTTCCGTTTTTCTCGATTAAGTTAATATCATAGTCTATATAAAATAATAATAAATTAGAGCAGAATTTTACAAGCAACAAAATGATATTTTATATTTTATGAATTCCATTCATATTAAATATGAGTATACATTTTTTGACTATAAGAAATCTCAACTTTACCTAAATTGTATGCGTTTAAAATTTCAACGTTATGTATAATGAAACGTCAATATTATTTAAAATTCTCCCTTTTCAGGAAAGGCAAAGGGAACAATGCCCATACAGCCTAATCTTTAGTTATAGGTCTTCTTTTTTTACATTAGAATGTCAGTGTGATGCATTCTAATGTTTCTTGGAGTGTTTGGCACGAAATTTATGGAGCTGGCTTTTACTCTAAGCTTCTGTGAGGTAGTCAACACTACAATAAAGTTCTCGCGTCCACTTGACCGGAATAGCGTATATTTTAAAGATTCCACTAATTCTTCAGTTGCGCAGACGGTTGTAACACCAAATCACACCAATTTTATTTCACAATATCCACTATGAACGAATTTTAGAATAATTAAAATAAGACGCCAACCGCTCTCGCAGAAATAAAAAACTTCGTATCGTCAATAAGAAAATGGTGTCGATTCTGGCATGATTCTCTAAACCTAAACGTATGACAACAGTGGTGTCGATTCTAGCGTCATTCTCTAAACTTAAAACTAAATTTAACATCAGTCTCTCCTTTTCATTCTGCATAGAGAATGACAAGGATGCACTGTTGTCAATTTTAAGTTTAGCTTTAGAGAATCATGCCAGAATCGACATCATAGTATCCTTGTCATTCTCCATACAGAATGAAAACGAGAGACTGATGTTAAATTTAGTTTTAAGTTTAGAGAATCGTGTCAGAATCGATACCAATGTCATTCATAACTTTAAAGATTTCTAACGAAATTTTTGTTTAAACGTAATTTTTTTATGAAGTCCGCGTCCCTCATTTCAAATGGGCCCTCTTGCTCGCACAACGGCGGCGCCTTAGCACAGCAGCAGCAATCACGTAATTTATTAAATTATTGACGAAAACATGAATCAACTCATCCATCGTTAATATAAACCGGTGTCGATTCTGGCACGATTCTCTAAATCTAAACTTAAACTTGACAACAGTGTTTCCTTGTCATTCTCTATACAGAATGAAAAAGAGAGACTGATAATAAATTTTGTTTTAAGTTTAGAGAATCACGCCAGAATCGACACCATTGTTTACCTACTTCTTTATTTACTAATTATTTATGAAGGCAGTTAACAACATCTTGAGGTAACAATAACTGGCAAAGACACACGACAACACAATAAATAATAGGTAAAAAAAGTGGAAATAACAAGATTGACATGCCAAGATTCATAGATATTTATATATCGAAGGCTCTTTACCAGTCGATGTATGTCTACTGATCATCCGTAGATAAATATCTATTGCGACATGGTGAGAATAGGGCAAAAAGGTTTTCCTTCGATAAAAGCCAGATCATTCGATATATATCGAAGGTGATATAATATCTATGCCGCGAGAATTGGGCCCCTGTGCCACAAACTTTTCTGTGCCGGTGGCAAAATTATGAACTACAATTATTTATCCGTAGCATTTTGACATTTTTATGACATATTTGTTCACCGCTAGCGACATCTCCACCGGCACAGATAAGTTTGTGGCACTGTTGTTATAGTAACGTTGACTAAAACTAGATGGCATTCACATGGCACTAAAACTAGATGGCATTGACACGGCTTCCAATAACGGCATCCAGTCGCATCGGTTGCGTGCATCTTAAGCTGGCATCGTTATCGCGCATCGTTGTTCTAAAAACGCCCACCCATACTGTGTAGTTATGTCCTTCCTACAGCATTGGTAACTATACAAGCTAGAGCAGGATGGAAGACGATAATGGTCGCGATATCTAAAGTTAAAATAAAAGTGCTGTATTTTTGTTTAAGTAATAAATAGTTACATTATGGATTATTTTAATTGGTTCAGTTGATGATGTTCTAGGTAATCTCTTTTATTTAAAGAATTGATTTTAGTTTATTTGCATGTGTATTACTAAGATACATTCCAAAATTGTATTTTGGAAATTGTTCATGTTTTGTGTTGTTCCTAATTTTTTATCATAAGCCTGATGAGTTTGTGATGAAATTCATAAGCTCGCCATTTAAGGGTCTTAAATAGGGACATTATTAAAAAGCAATTAAAATATGTTTAATTGATGAATCATTGAATTTTACATTAATGGCATTTCACCTAAGTTGCTCAGCTCCCGTAGCATATACAATTTGCATTAATATCTTACTGTCAAACTCCATAGTAATTTGACAATTGAGCGTGATATAAACGCGTTATATATCATATCGCGGTGCTAATGCTGGGGGGGGGGGGGGGGCTGGTAGCTGTTTTAAGCTTTCTCATTCATTAAGGATCTCTTAAAAATTAGAAATACTTATAATTTCAAGTTCATTTGCCGTTGTATTAATAAATATTATTATTTAAGTTAAGTTTTGAACGATATGAAACATCATAACTTATATATATCTATATACCATGTATGTGCAATCTCGCTTTTTGATTCTCAGATATCCGAACTTTTGCCTGAATTTTATGGACCTGGCCTACTCTATTTCAACGAAAAACGAAATTTGATCGAAATTTCGCACGTTCCTTACTCTGTTTCTGTTTCATTTCGAAAATTCGTTCGTCCGAAAATAGTTTGACATTTAAATTCTCTAGGCCTACTCTAATTCACAAAACTTTTGAACTAAAAGTTGAATTTGACAGATAATTGTTCGAAATTTTAACCTCAAATTGACGAAATGAAAAGTGCTACCTTTTCATTTTAGTTTTGGGATTTTTGTTTAAATTAAACCTAAAATTACTACTAGTGTATTTTTAATTAAGGCTGCTTAGCGTGAGGAACATTTTTTCGTAAGAAAGATTTACAAATAAATCAAATTTTTATTTATTATTGTATTGCCAATACTTCAAAGTGTTACACGACAAATTTAGGTTGACATACATTTGATTGCATCAACTCTACAAATTAGTCGGCTAACACTGTCAAAAGAGGTTGTTTTAATGTAATCAAAAATGTTGTCTTAAAGTAATATTGTTTTGAACTAAAAGACGTTATCTAAAAGGGTAGACGAAAAGAACTCACAAACATAACTCATTCCATTCGTTCACGATAATTGTCTGTGATTCCGAACTTTATGTGCGTGTTTGAAGATGAAATAGAGTAGAGTCACTGGCAAAATTTCGTTTAAAATTTCGTTTCGGAGAAAGAGAGTAGAGCTCCTGTTGTTTTGTTGCTGTTTACAGTCAAGTTTTCTTAAATCAATTTCGGGGACCATTATTAGTTGCGCAGGAGGTGTGAGTTTCGTTTAGTGTGATATTGGTGTCGATTCTGGGAGATTCTCTGTATAGCTAAACTTAAATTTGACGTTTATGTATCCTTGTCAGTCTCTTTACAGAATGAAAATTAGACTGATGTTAAATTTAGTTTTAAGTTTCAAAAATCATGCCAGAATCGACACCATTCTTTTTATATCTTTATATGGGCCATCGATAGCCTACAACTTGGTCTAATCGGGTTGATGTAGATACATAAGATAATATTAGAACACTTTAAAACTACTTATTGGGAATCCCATTTCATACTGGAGGTCAGTTGAAAAGAAAAATGTTACTAGAAAAGTTCAACTTGGCCCATAAATTCGACTTAGCATCTATGGGTTACACTTTTGACTCGGCTTATTAAGCGAATTCTCGGCGCAATTTTTTTTTAATATTTTTTACAAGGGAACCGGGAGTCTTGCCCAAGTTGGAGAATTGAACCATCTTTCAAAATTGTATCAAAACAAAACGTCAATTCGTTCATTGGTCACATGCGAGACCGTCGTGTTGTCATTGGCGCAACGCATTGATGTTTTGATTGCGTTAAATTTAAATACAATTTTAGAGATGGTTCAATTCTACCACCTGTGCAAGTCCCGGTTTCCGCCAATAGAAAAAAATAAAATTTTACTTAATTATTAACATATTCATTGAATTGATTATTTTCCAAAACCACACGGCCAAGTGATTGGACTGGTTCTGAAAAATTATCAACTTACATTTTGTGTACATGCCCATAAATTGCGCTGAAGAAATCAATTGAATAAGCAGAATCTCGAAATTTGCCCTTATTAGGACATTCTGCATAAGCATGTTTTTAAGTATTTTGTTAGGCTGCAGCGTTATTTCTTCACATTATTGTTACTAGAATTTTAAATGAAATTTATGAGAGAACATTTGTATTTTATTTTTTTAGATAAAATAAAAATATTTCGTTCCATTAAATTTCTAAACTTGATACTGACAAATATGTATATTGTCAACTTTAAGCAAATAATAAATATTGTATTAGGCGAACACATAATGATTGTTGAAAATAATCCCAATAAAACGAATTTGTGATAAATGAAAGTCTGTTTCATTTCTGCTCAGTAATAGTTTTGTTTAATTCTTTTTCGACCTAATATAGGTACAGTTCACTTTTCATTATTATAAAAACAAACAAGATTAAAAAAGAATACTATCCTAACAATAAATTACGGTTGTTAAACCCAGTTTAACTAGGTACTAAGAAAATGTATTAATAATATCTCTCACTGAAGTATAACAACCTGTGAGTAACACTAGTAAATAGAACATTAATAGGAACGCGTTTTTCCATAACATGTATTTATATTTCCCTAAACCTCTTTCCCATCTATGTACAGTTTGCACCACTACCGGTATCAGAAGTCCAAGAGTTGAGAAAAAAATGGCTCCCACTAAGCTTATGAGGAGACCTAAATCTGGCACAGCCGCGGCGAGGACCACTGAAAAAAAAAATATATTCGTTTCAAGGCATTGAAAACTAGTACGGATGGAAGAGCTCGATGGCGCGGGTGGTTAGCGCGTTCGGCTGCGATCGTTGAAGTTTAGCAAAAGTTAACCAAAAATCTTCTATCTCCGGTTCCTCCGTGCTTCGGAAGGCACGTTAAGCCATTGGTCCCGGCTGCATCTGCAGTCGTTAGCACCCGCCAATCCGCACTGGGCCGCGTGGTGGGTCATAGCCCAATCCCCTATTCCATCCATAGGGAAGGCCTGTGCCCTAGCAGTGGGGACATTAATAGGCTGATGATGAGGTGATGAAAACTAGTAATATTATAATCTTGGGGGCGCGCATTGTGTACTCCATGTCAGAATCTTATGAAAATATTGGCAAACAAGTTTAGCGACGCATTAAGTTATTATACGGCCGCACACGAGAAATTCATCTATTTATGTATTAGTTTGACTAAAGTTGATACCGGTGTCGATTCTGGAATGATTCTCTAAACCTAAATTTTAAATCGACAACAGTGTATCTCTGTCATTCTCTATACAGATTGAAAAGGAGAGACTGATGTTTTATTTAGTTTTAATTTTAGAGAATCGTGACAGAATCTACAGCACTGTCACTTTCTTGGCCTGCGCAGATGAGGGATGATTGTATGCAGACTTTCTTCTCCTTAGATCACTTACGTGTGTTACTGCGCCTAGTCACATGAGGTCCATTTTTACGGAGACCTCCGTACTTTTGTACTGTCCCGTGTCTTGGTGTCCTCTGTTGTTTGGGGGACTTTTTGTACGCGGTACTTTTAATTCGTCTTGATGCGGTTGTAAGCGATTTAATTTGTCCCTTGTCTGCGCAGGCCACGGGTATGACAATGATATATAAAAAACTTAGATACAGCAACACGAACAAAATCGCGGCCGAAACCTGTCCTAAAGGTACATTGGACAATCCACGGAGCTCCGTAAGATGTTTGCGAAGACAAAAACAATTTAAGGCAGATCATCTTTAATTCATACTGTATAAGGTCTTATTTAAAAAGCATGCGTTAAAGAGTTAGGACAGTTCAAAATGCAAGGTCGTAAAATTTTACGACATTGTAATTATTATTATTATAGCCTTTTTATTTCCTTAATAAATATCAAATATACATGTCAATCATTCAATACAATTTCAATAATATTAGGTCAATCAATTACAAACATGTCAATTATAATTTAAAAAAAATTGTCAATACTCATTTTTCTATTTATTAAGGACCCCTCAGCGAGTAAAGGCCTCCTCCATTTTACTCCAATTTTTTCTATCTTTGGCCTTGGTGATCCAGTCTCTACGAGCCACGTCGTTAATTTCGTCTATCCATCTTTGTTTTGGTCTACCTCTATTTCTTTTGTGTCGAAGTTCTTTCCAAGTAGTCACTTTATAAGTCCATTTATTATTACCCATACGTGCAATGTGTCCAGCCCATCTCCATTTAAGTTTTTTACAGTGATCCAAAGCATCAATAACATTTGTTGTTTTTCTAATATCATTATTTCTTATTCTGTCTTGTATTTTTATATTAAGCATACTTCTTTCCAATGATCTTTGACATACTTGTATCTTATTTTTTATGTATTTATTATATATCCAAGTTTGACATCCATAGGTCAGACAATAAACATGAATCCATCACTTTTTTCTTGAGTTTTACAGGAAGGTTTGATTTTAGAATTTCTTTGTTACTCCAGAACTTATTCCATGTGATGTTTATTCGTCTATTTACTTCATCTTGATGTCTGGTCGTTGAGAATGATATTTGCTTGCCCAGATATACATACTCTTGAACATATTCTAATAAAATATTATCGACTTTAATTGGTCTTGTTTGGTGGTTAGTCATAACTTTCGTCTTTGTCGTATTTAATTTTAGTCCGATTTCTCTACTCACTTTAACCAGTTCATTAATCATTTTTTCCAACTGAATTGGCGTTTCCGAGAATAGTATAATGTCATCTGCGAATCTAAGGTTGCTCAAATAGTCCCCGTTTATAAAATTATTGTAGTATCGCATTCATGTAGAGCGTTCCACATGCTACAATGGGATATAGAGTCGAAAGCCTTTGCATAATCGATGAAAGCCAGGTAGAGCGGGTGTTTATGTTCTATATATTGCTCCATGATCAGGTTTAAGGTGTATGTGATCTGTAGTTGAAAAGTTTTTTCGAAATCCCGCTTGTTCTGGGGGCTGGAATTTTTCTGTGTATGTAGCTAGTCTTTCTTCCAGGCACGATGCAAACAATTTGTACAGATTTGATTGTAGGCTGATCGGGCGGTAATTACCTATATCGGCAGGGTCTCCTTTCTTATAGAGCAACACAATGTCAGATTTAGCCCATTCTCTAGGTATTTTCTTGGCTTCCAAAATGTTGTTGAATAAGTTAGTTAAATGCGGTAATAATAAAAATTTACCCAATTTTATTGCTTCATTTGTGATGCCATCTGGGCCACTGCTTTTATTCGATTTTAGGCGTTCTATTTTTTTCATAATCTCGTTGGTAGAGAATCTTTCCAGAGTGGTGGTATTGACTTGATTGATAGGTAGGGTAATTCTGTCTGATTCATTTGATGAGTATAACTTTTTAAAGAATGATGTTGCTATATTAATAATATTCGATCTAGAGAATGTTTTGTTGTTAGTTGAAAAGTCTTTCAAACAAGGAATCCATTCTTTATTTTTGTCGAGTGTCCGTAGAGCTTTTTTGAGGCTACTTGATGTTTTGAGATGATTTTCTACAATTTTTATCCGGTTTTCTTGTCGTTCCTTCTTAATTAGTTTATAAATATTCTTATAAAGATAACTACGTTCTTTCTTTTCTTCTTTAGTTAAATTTTTCTTCTTTGTTAGTTCGTTTCTTCTTATAATTAGATCTTTAATATATTTTTTGTACGAGACGACCGCCTTACGACCGAAGCGAAAAGAAATGATCTTACGTCGAAACAAGATTGATTTATAAAATGTATCTATAATTTCACATGTATCGGTTGTATACGCATTAAAAATATCATTCCCTTGTTGTCTTATTAGAATGAGTCGGATATCGCAATAATAGATAGCTCTGCCCATAGTAAACCGTTGTAAAATTGATAGTTCAGAGCGATATTCCGCCCCGTTCTCTCCAACAATCTTATAAGACTTTGTCTAAACGATCACCACGACGCCAAGCGGTGGCGTGAGGAAACTAGTCAGAATACTGATAGTTCCGACCTATAGGAGGGACAGAAACAATAGGTTGTCCTTGTCTCACATCTTATAGGATTTTGCCTGAGTTGATAGTTTTCGATAATAATATGTTTTATGTTTTGATTGATTTATTTTATGTCTTATTAGAAAGTAGGTAGTTATAGGAATAACATATCAAAGTTTTGTATGAATCGTGTTAGCAGTTTAGGCGTAATTAAGGAAAATATTGGAAATAGTTTTTTACGAATAGTCGATAGGATATAGGTATAATTGTTATGATAATGATGTTATTTTGTGTGTTTTTACTTCTTCTATAAAATGGTATATGATAGTTAGGCATTAAGTGAATGTAAGTAGGTTTTTTAAGACTTTTTAATTTGTAAACTTTATAGGGCCGTAGAGCTGTTGTTTATTGATATTCTTATAAGAAACTTGTTGTATTAGGTAGATAACGCGTAGGGCTACGTAAATAAATAGGTATCACATCAATAAATGTAAAAATGTACCGTGTAGGAGACAAAATCTGTTTGTATAGAACCGTTTTCTGAGACATGTTGCGCTCCCTACCCGGCGCGCCCGGAGCGCGCGGGTGGGGCAGCGAAGCCCCGTGGCAGGGCGAAGCCCTATGGAGGGGGAAAGTATAAATATTGCGGAGACCTATTTTTTGCGCGCCACACCTAAAATATCATGCTTACGGACACATAACTGTGTTAAAAATATGCCTATATGTATGCCCGATGTATGTACAATTAGTTTTAATCTCGCACTAATGTAATTTTTGAAAAAATGAAAAATAAAGTATAGCGTGGGTGAGGTAATGGATCGCTGGCCAGCTCAGTCCTAGCATATAAAATTCGAGTCGGAACATGCTCCGATATGCATTCAGCGACAGGCGCTCCTACCATAAGGAACAGGAAGAAACAATCAAGCGGTTCACTCTGGACAACATAAGCTCCTCTCAGCGGCCATCTATTCGAGCTGTATCCGGCGTGCCACGTACATTTTTTGGTCGCATCGAGCCGGATCCACAGCGCCGAGGAAGAATTGAAGAAAAATTATAGAAGATTGAAGAAAGAAGATCGTCGTGGTCAATTATAGAAGATTGAAGACAGAAAATATAGAAGATTGAAGAAAGAAAAATGCCACGAACAAGATCTCAAGCTGACAAAATGGACCAGGCCGAAGAGGAGCGCATCGAGAGAAGCATCGAAGAGCCAGAGCGAACCGCCGCAGGAGAGAATCCTGTCCAACCCCCGTCAAGAGCGCCATCGGAAGGGAGCGACACCGTGACGCGGCCACCGTACCCGCTGCGCCACGATCAACCGCCGAAGTCGCCATCAGCTGCAATGACATCACACCGAACCGAATCGAAGATAGCTGCACGAAGAGCAGCAAAGAAGAAGCGCCTGGCGGCGTTATATGAAGAATTAGAGAAGACTATAAGGGCGAAGATACGAATGGAAGAGCAAGATAGCGAAGATGAGGACCAAGAGGACCCGCAAATGAAGATAGAAGAGAAACCGATAGCACACATGGCACCGAGAATGAAGAACGCGTCATCACCTGGCTGGACACAGCGACAAAGGACACCACCCCCGACGGCGGCACCACCGAACCGTATAGAAGACCGACCGTCGAGGACACCGTACAGATTGGTGGGTCCGTCGCACCACTTGCCGAAGATCCAGTCCCAGGGGCGCTGAAGCCATGCATTAAGAAGAGTCCGCCGTCCCGTATTGATGAAGCTCAAGAACAAGTCGCCCCTACGTTGCCGCCAC